GGAGCATTAACAGTCTCAAAGGGCAGACAAATTCAAGGTCTTTTTCCTTTAGCTTTGCAATGTGGAAGAATTACATGTCCTAGGTGTGTTTCCCATTGGCTGACATAAAACCGAGGCTGTGGGTCTTGAACAGACATGAATAATGTGGGGGGAGAGATAACCTAGAGTTACAGAGGTCCACCAGGAGTGGTCTTTCGGGAAGCAAAATATTTCTGTGCCTGATCAAAAATTAGATTATAGTTCACTGAGAATGTTAAATGGTGATGTTACTCAATACCATGGAGCATGATGCGTTTGTAATGGCATTAAGGGTTCACTTTCTTCCTATGCATCCTTAAAAGCCATCAATTTCAACTATTTTGATGGGCCTCAAAAACAGGAAACTGTCACTTCTGTGTTCTATTCATAAATCTCAGCAAGTTAGTTTATCTAAATTGCCTGAGACCAAATATTTCCTCTAAGGTCACACTGATCCATAGTTCTTCTCCCTGCCTGGAGATTTTAGGAAGCCGCTGATTGTTTTCCCTAATCTTAATCACTAGGAAGCTGATTGGATCCTCTACCTAGAATTATCAATCATTTTGGACGAGTTCAGGAATTTAGACAATACATCACAAGACAAGTTGGAACTGTTCTTAGAATCAAACTTCCCAGCTCCTCTGAAGATCAGCAAACACTGGTCAACCTGAGTTTTCTTTAAAATGCTCCTCTGTCCCTTGCTAAATGGACATACTTGGTTCTCAGAAGGATCACATTAAGAAACATTATGAATTAGGAGAGCTTGAATGCTGCTCACTGTTTCAGGATGGAGGCCCAGGTCACTATCTTGGGGTTTGGATTTATGAAGATGTCAGGAGCTGACTGCAGTAGCACAGACTTGGAGACTTCCCCAAGCTTTTACATTTTCTCCCTTGAGCATCTGCCTTTCTTTATCATCCATAGATGAGTCTGATTTAGATTGAACCACTGTTTGTGCACTGTCTTTCCAGAACCCATTTGGCAAAATATTCTGGCGGCACTATTACTAGTCTGATGTGGATAGGGCTGAACATTCTGATTATCCTGGCAATTGAAAAACAGGCAATTTTATTTTGTGCTTATTTATTCATCAATGCCTCTTTCCGAAAGAGATTTAAAGTGGCTTATAAAAATGTATTGCATCCAGCAAGATAAAATAAATTGAAAATGAAGACTGAGGCTTGGGCAAAGGTAAAGTATAGGTAGGCAGATGATAATGAGGAGCCAAGAGCAAGGTTGGTCCACATGACTTTTGTCTTGCCACTTCAACCTGTGCTGGAGGTGATGGTTCCTTGAGGGCTGCACCCTCCTCTTTAAAGGTTGATTCTGATGGCAGCCCTGAGCATCTCTTCTAATCTCCTATGCCTGCAGACAAAAATGATGAATAATTTTGATATTACAAAATGAAAATATGTGTAATGTTTCTAACTCAGAATTGGAGTCAATTTCCAAAGTATTTATTTAGCTTATGTTATTTTCCTCCTTATGCAAATGTAGACTGTAATGTATGTAAAGCTTCTAAAAGTTTCTGGGCATAAAAATCGTGCTCATTACATGGTAACTCATTATTACCATACTTGTGAGCAATGGGATAGCGATTAGGAGTCCAACAGATCAGGGTTCAAATCTCAGCTTAGTGGTTTATCTAAACTAAGTTACTTAATCTCTAAAAGTCTGTTTCCCAGTCTGTAAACAGGGATAATAACAACACATCTTGCATTGGGGTGTTGTGAGAAGTAAACAAGACAGTTTATGTAAAACAACTAGAACAATATCTGACACACAGTGAGTGCTGTCTTAATATTCTTCTTCATTATTATTATTAATACATACTCTTTCCCTCTTTCATTGGACTTTTAAGAGGAGAAGAGAGACCATCACATTTTAGAACAGGATGCAGCATTTGAGGTCCTTTAGTGTATCCTTCTCATGTGAGGACACAGTCCCAGAGACAGGAAGATAATTGCTTATATTTACACAGTACATCCGTGGCAGAAAGTGGACTTGAATCCAGGTCCCTGAATGCTTTTCCCAGCCTTCCTACCATATGCTCTCTCTGGTTATCATGATCAATTGCCCATCCTCCTCCCAAAGGAAAATAGCTCCCCTCCCCAAGGGGAGATCTAAAAGTGTCATTCAGGGGAGTGGTGGAATGAAATGGGTCTCCTGGTTTGTGCCTCCCCAGCTGAGGCTGCCTGAGGCTGGGCTACAGTGTCCCACTTCCCAGGCCAGAGTGATGAGCCATGGTGTAGATTAACGGAAAGCACAGTGAATTTGGAGCCAGAAGTCCTGGTGGCATTTACTAACTATGTGGTCTTGGGAAAGATGGTTTAACCACCGTGAGACTCATTTTACTCAGTGATAGAATAGGGATAAGTTAAAATTTTAAATGACAGAACAAACTAGTGATTGAAAAATCACTTTTATAACAATTATATTTATTGAGTGTTTACTCCATACTAGGCAACAGTGTGTGTGTGTTTTCATGAATTATCTCTTTTACCTCTCACAGCACAGCAGAGCTATTATTGTTATCACATAGATGTTGAGACTGAGACTCTAGAGGTCAAGTAACCTGCCCGAGGTCACACAAATAGAAATGATTGAGTTCAAGTTTGGAACAGGCTCTGTCTGACTTCAATTTTTTATCCACCATGCAATATTGTTGGTATTCCAGCCTTACATTTATACTGAATGATTATAGTCTGATCACCAAGCCTCTAATCCCTTCTCTCTGTATTAGGAGGTTGACTTGTCTGAAAAAAATTGCCTTGAAAGTGTCTGGCAAGTACTTGAAGAACTCTGTATACTTTGTAATGGGAGTGTAGTGGTCCATTGGTGGAGATTTGTGCCTTCATTTTCTGCTTTCTGTGGATAAATGATGCGTACAAGTGAGCATCATTACCTGATCCCCCAGAATTTCTGCTAAAATGTCACCTTTTCAATGAAACGTCCCTGAGAGTCCTTGTTAATATCTTTCTCCTTACTTTAGATCTCCCAATTCCCCACCCCCTGCTGTGTGTGTTGTTGTTTGTTTGTTTGTTTTTTCAGTTTTTATATAGCACTTACCATCTTCTATCATGATAGAAAATATGCTCTAAAAATCCCATGTATTGAATATGTCTGGCTCTTCTGCTAGAATGACAGCTCCACAAGGATAGAGATCTTTGTCTGTTTTGTTCTGAGGCAGAAGAGCAACTGGCGCATTGTAAATTCTCTGTAGATTCTTACTGAATAAATGAATTAATATTCTCTCCCTCTCTCTTTTTTTTCTCTCTGGCCAGGATGGTTTGTGTGAACTCCTTTTAGAACACAGCAAGACATTATTTTGGTCAAAGGTCAGTATTATATTGGGCTCTAAGGGAAGGAAAAACACCTCCTAAGTATTTACATTATCAGGAAGTCAGTGGAGGGAAAACACCAGATGCTGATCTTTATTTCATCACTAGCTCAGCTTTTGCCAAAAATTGATCAATGTTTCATTTTCTTATGTATCTGAAATCCTATGAGATCTTTCTCAAATTCAGATTATTTTTCAAGGATGGAAGGAAGACAAGAAGAATCACCTTTGAAGTGCACATTCAGTGTTTCCATTACCCAAAATTATCAGCATCTAAAGATACAGAGACAAGATGGTCCAAATACCTGGCAAGAACTCTATCCATATTAGAGTTCTAAACTCAATGTGCTGGCTTTGTCCCTTAATGAGATTTACAGGTTAATTCTGGACTGTCTTGATTCATGTACCTCACTGATTGATAATGAGTTGACATTGTAAAAAATGAGACAGGTCCTTTTGAATAAGAGAACTTAGAAACCAGGTGATGCTGCTTGACAGGAATAGAAAGGAAGCGACTTAGCAGGCAACAGCTTGTAAAGACTCTAACAGTGCTTACTTTCACAGCTCACTGTCTTGGGTCTAAGTCCATTGTGTTCATATGCATATTAAAAACAACCACGAAGAAAGATAGGGTTGATATTGGGATTCCAGGAACCTGTGGACTTGGAGATAAGAAGATTCCAGGATGTACATGGACCTAGGAGCATGTTACTCACATTATTGGAGAATTAAAAAATGTATTTCTAAGTGTGTCAGACCATTTGCTAAGCACAGTTTGTAAGCTATACCCTTCACAATACTATTGTGACTTTGGTATTTCAATCTCTATTAAACCAACAAAGGGACTGATGTTCAGAAAGATGAACTAACTTGCCTAAAGACTCAACGGATTTGAACCTAGGTCTGATTTCAAAGCCCATGTCTTTAATACTATCCACTAGGGTTTCTCCAAACAAAGTGGTATTTTCTGGCTCTGCAGTGAAGCTGATGAAAGTTTCCTATTTGGAACCTGTCAGAAGTTTGGAAATGACTAAGCAACTGAGTTCTAGCTCTGGCTTTGCGTTTTTACTATGAAATCTTTTTTCCTCAGTTCTATTGAGATGTAATTGACATATAGCACAGTATAAGTTTAAGGTGTACAGCACAATGATTTGAGTTACATATATCATGAAATGATTACCACAATAAGTTTAATTAACATTCATTGTCCCAAATAGATACAAACATAAAAGAAAAAGAAAAAATGCTTTTTCTTTTGATGAAAACTCGGGATCTATTCTCTTAATAACTTTCATATATACCATACATCACTGTTAACTGCAGTCATCATGTTGTGCATTACATCAATAATACTTATTTATCTTTTAACTGGAAGTTTGTATGTTTTGACCACCTTATGCAATCATAAGCTAGTCACTTCACTTCTTTGACCTTCATATTCTTCTCTCAAAAATGGGATTAACATTATGCCCTCCCAAGGATTTCTGAAATATCAAAGGAAATAAAGTAAAAATTGTAAAGTACTTTACAAATCTAAAAGATTATTATCGTTACTGAAAATAATCATATCAAGCCATGCTCACCTTAATTTATCTTCAGTGAGATTTTTTTTTTTATTATTTTAGTGGGCTACCTAAGATTCATGGCAGAGAGTGGCACTGTGGTGACAGATTTTGTTCTGATAGGGTTTCAACTGCGGGAAGAGCTGCAGATGGGTCTCTTCTTTGTGTTTCTGGTCCTTTATCTCATCACCGTGGTGGGTAACTTGGGCATGATAGTGCTGATTCAGAGTGACCTTCACCTCAAGACTCCCATGTACTTCTTCCGCAGCCACCTTTCCCTCCTGGACACTTGTTACTCCTCTGTTATTGTCCCTCAGTTGCTTGAGACTTTGGGTACTGATAAGATGGTCATCTCCTATGAGTGCTGTGCTGCTCAGTTCTTCTTTTTCACACTCTGTGCTAGCTCTGAGTGTTTCCTTTTGGCTGTGATGGCCTATGACCACTATGTGGCTGTGCGTAATCCTCTCCTCTATGCCACCACCATGACACCACAAACCTACAGGGGCCTAGTGTCTGGGGCATATACTGGTGCTATGGTCAATTCCACAATCCACACTGGGTGTACCTTCTCAATCTCCTTCTGTAAGTCCAACCACTTAGACTTCTTATTTTGTGACTTCCCACCTTTGCTGAAGCTTGCCTGTAGTGAGACCAGGCCACGGGAACAAGTGGTCTACCTCTTAGCTTTCTTGGTCATTACAACCAGCATTACAGTGATTCTCATATCCTGCCTGTTCATCATTTGGGATATTCTGAAGATTCATACAGCAAGTGGAAAAGCCAAGACTTTCTCCACCTGTGCTTCTCACATGACTGCAGTGGCTCTTTTTTTGGGGACACTTATGTTCATGTACTTGAAAGGTAATATGGGAAAATCCCTCACGGAAGACAAGATTGTGTCAGTATTTTACACTATGGTCATCCCTACGCTGAACCCAATGATCTACAGCCTGAGAAACAAAGAAATGAAGAAGGCTCTGAAGAAAGTTCTCAACAGGATGAAGGTTTCTCAAGTAGAGCAAAACTTGAGCTCGATCAATTAAGAAGTTCCTGCAAGTCATCCTTTGGGCTTTTGGCTTGTTCCCTTAACACACGAACCAGATCTTGTATTGATAAAGACATATTGAGGCCAAAAAACATAGATTGGGGTTCCAGCAATTTCATTATTAGCCCCTGACCTTGAGCCAGAAATTCCCTGCCTCAGTCTTCACATCAATAAAAATGTATGCCTTGCTATGATTCAGAGAGATGGACTGTCAAAGGGATTTATCACTGATAACATGTTATAAGATGTAAATTTATTTTTCTTTCCTGTCATGAGTATTGTTAAGTGTTTTCTCAGTTACTTGAATTTTTTCTACTAAGCTAATATTTTCACCTTTGAATATTTACAAAACAATAGCTTAGTATTTATATAGTAAGGGCAGTCACATTCTTTTGTTGTGGATAGTGGGGTGGAAACCAGCCTTGACCAAAGAAAATTTTCTCAACATTCAATCATTTCTAATTTATGGATTTGTCAGGCAAAATACAAGTAACTAAACAGAGGAAGAAAAATAGAGAAGAAAGAAGATATGAAATGAGAAATGTTCAACTAGAATATGTTAGCCTACATCCCAAGATGGCATAAAGGAACAAGACACTTTAGAATGACAGATGTAATTATTTACATATATTGGAAACAGTTTGCTCTTGATGTAGAGGTGAACAAGTCCCATATATAACTTTTGAAATATTTCTTTATCATCAAAGGTAAGAAGCTCTATTTTATTTCTGAAGCATTATTCATGTGCTATCTGCCTCAGTTAACTCAAGCTATTTTCTATTCTTCAGTAATGAAAACTACTATCTATTTCTGTCTATGGTAGGACATTTAATTTATTGTCAGAATGTTAATGCACAAAGGGCACAATCTACTCACAACAAGACAAAAGCCAATCATCAAGAGGCAAGATGACGGCAGAGAAAGGGCATTTTAGTTCAGCTTGCTAGCAAGGGTGAGGATGGCTAACTAATGTCTGCAAGAACCATCTTAAGGGGAACACAGAATCTTGAAGCAGTTATATAGGCCAGTGGGTTATAGAGGAAGGAGTTAGGAATGTTGACCCTCTGGTACTACAGACTGGGAATGGCCACACCTGATAGACTCTCTGTTTGGGGATCATTACATTTCTAGGCACTCAAAAAACCCCAAAGGTATCTTCTTATTGCAGCTGAGAGGTACATGAACAAGCAGGGGTCATAAAATCTATAGAGTAGCTAGACCTCCTGGATGATGCATATCCAGCTGGGTTAGTTACTCCTAGGTCAAGGGTTGACTTCCCTTATGTCAACCTTGTGTTGAGCTGGTATCAATTCTCCCTGTTATTTTTCAGTTCTCAATCTTGAGAGATATCTTGCTGATGAGGGGCATAGGTTGTTCCATCTCATTTAAACAGTCTCTTAGTAAGATTGTGATGCAGGTGGGCTCCCAAAGTTAGACCTATATTGTATAAGCAAGCAACGACATATTTAACAAGAAGCATTTCTAGAGAAACAAAAAGGAAAACAAGGTTAATGGTTGGAGAAAAGTATAGACCAGCTTCTGAGCCTAGGGAATAGCAACCAAAGGATTTCTAGATGTTAGAGTGGAAGAATCTTTCACAGTTTGAAATGTCTCCAATGATGTCATTGGATGTTCAGGTATATTTCTGAGTAGCTTACACAGGAACATACTTGAATTTCTCTTAACTTTGTATCAAATTGCCCAGTTTCCATCTGCAAGGCTTCAGGGAAAGGGCAGCTTCAGTTCTCAATGATTCCAAATGTAAGTGGTGGAAAAAATTGAAAACATTACTTTGGAGATTTGTAGCCAGATATTTCAGGAGACTAGAAGAATTCAGGATCCAGTCCAGTTTACAGACAGAAAATAAAAACCCTCAAAGATAATTATCAGAGCTAGAACCTAATATTCATGAATGTGTACTATACTTTCTATTGAAGTATAATTTTTCTCTATAAAATCACCCTCTTTTTTACCAAAGATAGCCAATTAATACTCATTCGTTTGCAAAATAAGTTTAGTTTCAATAAACTTAGCCCAATTATTTACATAAGTACAACAGGAATAGCAATTGATTATATAGGCTCCTTTAAATATGTCTTGCTGGAACTTATAGGGAATCTCAAATTAGACTTTAAATGCCTCTTAAGACCAGGAAAGGCACGCCAAGGACTTGTCATCATATTTCACCTGCAGTATTGACAAATTTGGGTGGATTCCTCTCTTCTAGAGGTACCCCAAATATTCTGAGATTCCAAGCACCTGTCAGAGAAGGGACCTTCTTTACTCACCTGGTAAGAGTGCTGGGAGCCCTGTAAACAAGATAGAAGGCTGATATTTTCAAGTGGCTTTACTTCATAAAGTCCAATCTTTGTTCTTCAAAAGCTGTCTTGTCATATCTGAGTCTGCATGTTTCTCTCAAATATTACATTCCAGTCAAAGCCTTGGTAATATAAATAATGTTCCCAATTGTGCCCTTTCATAAGGAGAACAGATTCTTATTGAACTTATGCAAATAACTATATTGTCATAAAACAATACTCACTCACTAAGAGTTTCCAAGTCCTGGAGGGATCAGATAGGGAGAAAAAAAGATGAACTTTTAAATTTTACTTACAAATGTAAAATTTTACCAAATTGCTACATCATAGTTAGCTTAAGAGAAAATCTGGAAAAATACCCAAACATCAAAAAATCAGAACTATCTCAAAAAAAATGTCATAGGGTGCCAGCCTGGTGGTGCAGCAGTTAAGTTTGCACATTCCACTTCTCAGTGGCCCGGGGTTGGCCAGTTCAGCTCCTGGGTGCGGACATGGCACCACTTGGCAAGCCATGCTGTGGTAGGCATCTCACATATAAAGTAGAGGAAGCTGGGCATGGATGTTAGCTCAGGGCCAGGCTTTCTCAGCAAAAAGAGGAGGATTGACAGTAGTTATCTCAGAGCTAATCTTCCTCAAAAAAAATCACAAAAATTATAATCATCCTCATCAGTTAATTCAATCTTGTGTAATTGATTCTTGATTTTAATCTTCTGTCAGCAGTTTCATGAAGTCATCAGTTTCTCTGTTAGAGTTCTATAATTTCTTACCAGTTCAGTTTTATGATCTGAAAATTTCTTAGAAACCTGTATTCTAGAATTAGTGTCAGAGTCCTTTCCATAGATCTCTCTGAGGATGAAACATATTTCCAAAAGCATCAGAGTAAACCAGCAACTACCTGCAAATGACAAAAGACTTAAAAGGACAATTGATAAAGAATTGTGGCTATTTCTGTGACACACAACACTTCAAGATAATAGCTAGAATTTTGGCTGACAATCAGGACAGAACAATAACATTTAACCATATAATACCACCTGAGATAGCTTATCATCACTTATTTGACAGTGCTCCCCATGTAATTAAACATACCAAATACGCCTAATTAGTTTAGTATCTTTTTCTTTATTGAAAGGGAAAGAATGAATTTCTTTGAGTAGTTGCAGGGGTCCTCTCCAAATTCTGAAAGAAATATTTCTGCTTCAGGTCAAAAGAAAGACTTCATTTGGATTTGAATTTGGGGGAAGCTTGTCAAAAAATATCAAAAGAGTTTAAAATACTTGGTCAAATAGGAAACAATGCTCACTGAAAATCAATGTTCAGTTATCTATTCAATCAAAGTGACAACAGAAACAGTCAAACGAACAGTTAAAACAGTCAAAAAATCTTAATAGAGAGACTTCAGTCTTTTTGAACAAAGGAAATTATTTTAACAAAATAGATTTTCTCTCTTTTTAGGTAGGCTTATCCAAAAATAAAGAAAACCCTTTTATAAGCTCTTTATAAAGAGCAGACTAAAAATACAGGAAAATTATCCTTTGAAGAAAGAGAAAACCAAATTCTGATTTTTGTACCAGTTTACTTCTGATATTAAAACTTATTCATTTAATTGTGTTTGTTTTACTCTTAGCCAACTTAACCATGCACAAATTCTTTCTTATGGTTCCTCTTCCACAAACCTTCTATAACTTCCTTTCAACATTCAGAATTTGTCCCATGCCTTCTTTCTTCCCTTTTAGTACTTTAGAACAAATTTATCTTTCTTAAAAAAAAAATAAAAATATTTCCCTTCTTTATACCTTCTTTAATGAAAACATATATCTTACCTTCCTTGAATACAAAGGTGTTTTCCTTATTAATTTTTAGTAGATTTAATTGCAAATAATAATTAAAATTTTTAATCTTTATAGACCTTAATGAAAACCAAAAGTAAGCAAATATGAACTGTCTTTTATATTAGCATTCTGTGGTGTGGCAAATTCCGAAACACTTTTCATAATTTCTAGAAACATGCTACGTCATAGAACAATCATTATAGACGTGTTTACTAATAGATCCAAATATAATTTAGCTTCTCTGTAATAAGAAGCCAAAAGTAGATAAACCAGATTTAATAACTAGCATCAAATATTCTATCTTATTTGTAAATGATCTAGATATTCAACGAATTTTTGTGATTCAGTTTAACCTAGCAAATCTTCAATGTTTCAAGTTACCAAAGAGATTTTGGAAGCTGTTTTAAGTACTCATGTCATAAACCATAATTATTGCTAAAAGTTTATCTATAAACTCTTATCTCACTTACATCTAGACCATTTGTAACAATCATATTTAGATTACTCACAAAAACTTTTTGTGATACTAAAACAGCTAGCCATCAAATAAGTTGTTTTAAGACACACGTCATAACATGTAATCATTGTTAAAAGGTTTCTCAAAAAAATTTACCCTTTTTCCATTAACTTAGTTTACCTGTTTCCAATAGTTACTTACATTGCCTGAAAAGCTTCATGAGACATTAGACAAAATTAGCCATCATTTTAAGTTATTATTTTTGCTAACGTTTTGTGATAGAGATAACATCAGCTTATTTGACCAATAAGTGTAGAAAAAAGACTACATATCTGCATCATAGCCAATACTGATAACTCTGGGGACATGTCCATTTTAATCAAACCAACAA